CGAGGTTCACAAAGTGCTGTGCCTGCCACGAAATCTGCACTTCGAGGCTCACAAAGCGTACTGTACCTGCCACGAAATCCGCACTTCGAGGTTCACCCAAGTGCTGCGCCTGCGACGAAATCTGCGCTTCGAGGTTCACCAAGTGCTGCGCCTGCCACGAAACCTGCACTTCGAGGTTCACAAAGTGCTGTATCCGTCACGAAATCTGCACTTCGAGGTTCACAAAGTGCTGCGCCTGCCACGAAATCTGCACATCGAGGGTCACAGATTGCTGTGCCTGCCACGAAATCTGCAAACGAGCCACATGTCCAAAAGTCACGATTCATTGCACTTGTCACAAATCTGAGCTCCTCGACGATCACCACCATTGCGCCTGCCACGAAAAGTGACCACCATGTACCAAAATGCGCGCGGCACCGCAACGAGAGTGCAGTCGTGACAAGCACGCTCCAGCCACCCAGATGCTGCGAGCCTGTGCAGTCGAAGTGCACATTGACGATGTCGAGAGGCATGAATGTACTGTAAATCGTTCACGCCCGCGCGCTTCAGCGATCTAAGCATCAGCTGCTTTTCACTTACCGTAAGAACCCCTCAGTGTGCCCACACTGTTTGGGGAAAAAACACCATAAGAACCATTCCCTATAGGGCTCCGAAACGTCCCCACATCCAACCCCCCCCCAAAGCCACGGTACTCGAACCGCCCTGGCATCCATCCACCCCTGGCCGAAGCGAAACAGTTGGAGCCGGGATTGGTCGATCCTCAGCCCTCGAGGCTTCCATCCGATCCTCAAGAAATGGATCGAGGTGCAGAAACCGGGCGGCAGACACCGGCGGCGGCTGTTTCGGGTGCGTTGTTTGGCGGTTGGTCGGTGCAGCAAAACACCAAGAGTTGCATCAAAAGGCGGGGAGATGTTGGGAGAGAAGATCGCAAGGATATGAACTGCAACAATCTACCGACCGAAGGGATTTCATGAACTGTTGTAGCAGTTGCTGTCATTTTTTTGATACACACCAGGACATGTTGCCCAATTTTTTTTGGTCAGGGCACATGACAAACAGAAATTGAAACCATCCTTCTTCTTCCGATGTCGCTCTCTTCTGTGCCATTCTCCGACATCCCAACGGAGGTCGGCAACAGTGGTGTCTTTAGACCTGAAATGTTCCTCGGAGAAGACACGCGCTGAGCGACGCCTTCGACGGGCTCCGGACTTCTCGTTGCAAGGGCCTGGGAAGGGCAGGGCCTGGGCAGGGCCTGGGCACCGCTCTGAAGGAGTCCACAAAGACCGTGACTGAACGACTGGAGTTCCAACGGTCCAACGACTGGAGTATTTAGAGGTGCCCCAACGATCAGTCCCTTATGTCCCTGACTGACTTGGTAAGCTGCACCCTTCCATTGGTTTCAGAGGTTCGAGGGCATGTCTTTCATGTCTTTCAGATGGGGGCCCCATAGAAACCACCGAAATTGGACATTTGTGCCATCCACTCTCAACCCACTACACTCCCTGGAACTAACATGGAAGTGGAACATAGGCCCCTGGAAGACAGTTTTCCTCTACAAGGGGTCCTGGTCAGCTTCCATGATTGTTGGAGGGAGGGTATACCGTACCCCAGCTATCACAACTTCGTTTCCGCAGAAGCCCGACGATCTTTGCCACCGCAGTTTTCAGGAAGTTCCTGTAGTTGACGATCGTTATAAGATATGATATAGTCTTCAGAGATTGCAGAATTACAACGTTGTACATGTGGAAGATGGGCTCGTGTGGTGATAGACTTTCCCCAAGCCCACTTTCACTCCGTCGTTTCAGCGTCACTCTTCAGTCAGTCCGTGGGCCCTTCGACGGAGCGCGACGTCCGTCGCCGGCGGTGGTGTTGTCCGCGGCGGCGTCAGGTTGCTGCCGATGGGTTTGCCGGAAGATGTAACAGTCATTGCCTGGGGTATTGGATGTGAGAGTGACTTGGCGAGTGGGAAATGGGGGAAAGGGACTGACCTCGTTTCAAAGAGATGTATGCTCCGGAGAATGAGCAGGGAGGAAAACTAAGACTCTAAGCCATTTCTGTTTGCTCATTAGCGAGCCATTCTCGATTGTTGAGGTCGAGAAAGAGTTCGAACTTCCCAACACTGACACTCATGATGCTTGATTGCTCAGGATGGACAGCTTTGCTCTACAACATCCGGCTCATCAAGGATACAAGACAACTTTTTTTGCTTTACCCCAGCTACGCATGAATAGAGTGTCCAACCTGCCTGACACCATTTTTCGTGTGGGGACAAGGACTGCCTCTATAATTGCTTTCGGGATACCTCTACTCTACATTGGTTGGTTGGATTTTCCGACACGTTCTGACACGTTTTCCTCGGAGTTTGTGACATCCGGCGAGTCCGACATCAGTGGCCATGGCGCATGGCCGCCATGGCCTCACGGGTTTCGTGACTGGGGTGTGGAAGATCTCGTCTCAGACATGTTCATTGATCCAAACTCTAGAAGATACCAAACTACCAAAACAACATGGGGGGAAAAAAGCACACACAATTGCCACATATGGCCACTGTCTTTGACCTTGGCGTGTGCTTCTGTTTGGTGTGACACACATTTTCCCGCCTTTTTTGTGATTGAACAAATGTCTCATCCAAACCGCCCGCCACTCTTGGTTACTCTTCATGTTCGTGAGAACACCGAGTTGTTGGGCGCACGGAGCGGTGAAAGCGGGTCGTTTCTGACCGCTCGGTTCGCTTGGTTCGCTCGGGTCAGGAGCTGTTCAGCTTCCAGCAGGATGTGGCGGCCACCAAGAAGAACCCCATGTGTTGGTTACGGAGAGCCGAGGACAGACATGGTTCTTTGGGGGTTCGGTGTTGTGGTGAATGGCTGGACAAGAACAGAAAAACAAGGATCAACAAGGCACGTCTTGGGCTGTTTGGCACGACTTGTTGGCTCATTAGCCGTTGGATGCCGTTGGGTTTTCAGCCTCTTGGCGCCGAAACGCAGACGATTCGGGCGAGGGCGGAGGCAGGGATGGCTTGGACCCTGCAGATGATCGCCAGGGTTTGGGTGTTTGATCCCTGCACCCAGGGGCGGTCTTTGGGTTACGTCTTGGAGTAGAAAACCCCCAGAGATGAAGTGAAGAATGAGAAGAGTCCGGGCGAAGAGGGTCGGAATTCGGACTGTTACAAAGGCTCCTGATCTGGACGTGGATGAGAGAGAGAGAGGGGTTGTGCTTGCGCCAGGATTGAGGCTCCAGCTCCAGCAATTTTGCGCTCCAAGCTCAGTGGTCAGGCTTTGGAGATAAAACGCCGGCTCCTAGAAGAACACACTCTTGTTATGACGTCAGAACACAAACAAACACCCATCACCAGTATCATCCAAAGGGTGGTGATGGATGCAATGTTCCATTCATCGTTGGGAGGGTCTGTGCCACCACCCAAATGGGTGGTGCTGGATCGGAGCTTGAACAGAGTTTGGCACCAAAAACACCTCTCAAGCCACATCTCGTGAAGGTGTCGAAGGCCCACCAGATCCGGCTTCTTTTCTTCTTTCGGTGAAAGCTTCCAACTTCCGTTCTTCACCTGCATGACCTCTCTTTTTTTTGCCCGTTTGGGAGCCCAAACAGAGGTCATGTCTGGGTTCCAGGTACATACATTATACCAAGATTGCTGGAAGGTGCTTTGCAGATCTTGCTCACTCTCCAAAACAGCTCCGTTTTCGCCGGGTCAACACCATGGCTTCCTCCATCCGCGTGGGACGATCCGCCGTGAGAGGGACCTCGGACCTCGAGGTCCGGCGCTCGACCGCGCCAACCGGGAAAAAGCGCGAAGCCGAGGTTTTTCGCTCCGGTCTCGCTGCAGCGAATGTGCAGAGGTTTCGCTGAAGAAAGACGTGCCACGCAAGACGTCTGCGCGCAGAGCGTATGGCGGCTTCTGTGCAGCGCGTTCGCATGCGAACTCGCAGTGGTGTCGATCTGGGTGATGGAGCGAATTTGGGGTGTGAGGAGTTTCGCAAGCTTTTCGGTCGCGGAATTGCACAGATCACGCTCCGTTTTGTTTCTGAATGCATGAAGCTGCTAAGCACATGTCTGGTGTCCTTCCATGACTCGAGTTAAATCGATGATAAGAGGTCGGAGTGCCTTTTTTTGTCAACATGACGGCCCAAAGGAAATTGAATTAAGTGCGCGAGTTCAAGACGTGAACAGAAGCTCTAGGGTCATTGGGATGTTGCACGCTGTTTGTTCAAAGTTTGTTCCACGTTTTTTTTTGGCCGCAGAAAAAGACACGTTCATCGTTTGAGACTGAGTGTTGCATGGGAACAGCCATTCGATGATGTGACTGGGCCTTCCTTCGGGCCCTTGAACATCAAATGACATGTAATTATTGAGCATATACCAGGACCTTCCAACAGGTGGTTTTAGAAGCCTAACAGGTGGCTTCTGGGCACATGTTGTCACCAGGAAACACCTGTTGGAGGGTCCAGGTAGAGATGTATAGAGGCAGCGGATGCCTCAAACAGCATGAGAGATGGAGGGGCATCGCCAGAGGCGACCCACACAGGCGAGGTCGGGGTCCAAAAGCGGGTACCGAGTGCTTTTCGAGTCGAGCTGACCGTCTTCGTTCTTTCGCCTGGGGAGTCATAGACCTGGTGAGGAAAAACTGGCATCGTTTTGAGCCATGGCAGGCCATGGCATGCCGAACTCCGGGCGCGATCGAGTTTGGCAGCAAGCGATCCAAAGGCGATGTTTGCGTTCTCACTTGTGGTGGTGGATCATCATATTTTGACATTACGTACTCAGATCTTGTCAAGTTAAGAAGACGTGGATCATTGATTCAACAGGTGTCCCTGGGGCTCCAAGTGGGTGTGTAGGTGTAGCTCAAACTGGGAGACCTCCCAGGCAAGAAGAAGGGAAATAGATTGAAACCCATTGGGTGGGGGGTCTCCCCATTGCAATACAAACGCAAGTACCTTTGTTTCGGAGATAGGACTGGGGTGGAATTGGAGGGTCTAAAGTCAAAATACCTTCTGAGGTACGACTGGAGCCCGTCTGGGAGTAGGTTAGCAATTCGACAACAGAGACCTTCCAACCAATGGCACCATGTGTTTTTTTTTCACCTACCGGGGGAATTCCCATTCAGCCATACAACTGTCCCTCTCTTCAACCGAACTCTGACCTGTAAGGCTAAGGACTTTGCCATCCGCCGCCACATCGATTGGGGCTTGCTGCAAAGCTGCAGCCTGGGAACCTGCCATTGCTGTGTTAGCGACGCTGCAGGACTGAAGAGGCAGCGAGCGCATGAGCGGTGTGCCATGGGGACACTGAAGGAGAGAGGTTGAAGAGCTGTAAGCTTGGAAATGATGGTCCAATATTGGATGGAGCATGATCATGTACACGATGTCCAAGCATAAATCTATGTGGAGGTCAGCACTTTTTGCTGGTGTACACAAAACATTTGCGCATGTTTCGTTAGACTCTGCTGGTGGATGAACTCATTGACTTTTCCTTAAATATCTTAAAGTGAAACGACTCGTGAAACTTTTTATTGTGAGGACTACCGCGCCCATGCGAACATCGTGGCATGCAATGGCGCGTTGACGGCCTCTAGCAACCGAGCTGCGTTGACGCTGACACAAGCCTCGTCGCTGAATGTTTCACAGTCGCTGAAAGGATCTTTTCGTAGAGAACATCAGCACTTCACACCCTTGGAGCTGAACCTTTTGGACCCCCCAAATCCAAGGGGCCCTAGGGGGCTTTTAGATGATTTGAGGGTGTGAAGGCACCGAGAACGAGATCGGACTCCAAACGGCTATCCCCACGTCTCCACCGATGCAACAAGCGCCTCGGCGAGGCCAGAAGCATCATTGGACGCAAGCTGTGCAGCTCGTCGCCACAGCGAAGAGCCTCTCGCTCCGATGCTTGGACGATGCGAGAGGGGTCGGCACCTAGGATGGGCAGGCGGGAGCTGCAAGGTACGGGTGAAAAGGAGTGGTGAGTGGGGGTTTAACTGGAATCCAGGTCCTGGATGTTGTTTCTTTAACAATTCTATTTTAATATAGGACGGGCCTGGAAGTCCGAGCCCCATGTTCTGGGAGTTTTCTTTGGGGGCCCGAATTTCATGAATGAAGCACGCACACACACACACACACTCAGTGGAAGATGTCGGTCCAGGGATTCGTCCCAGATTTTGGAGCCTCCAGAAGAGGTTTTCATCGCCGTCTTTTCAGGGGCTCCGCTGGATTGCCCGTCTGAGGAGTCAACTCTATTACCTACACTTCTGCGACTTGTCAGAGAGAATTTTTTGGCGTGTAGAGACTTCGGTGAAACCCCCCATGGGCCTGTTGAGGAAACATGGGAAAGGCAGACAGACACACGAGTTCCAGCACTGAAGACACTCAAGGGGAAACCATTGAAGATATTTGAAGATAAAGACCAGTGAGAATGGATTCATTGACGGTCTATTGGCCGTGTTCCTTAACCGAGTCAAGAATCACTTCGAACTTGGATGTAGGTTACATGCTGAACGCTGATGGATTCAGCGAAAAGATGTATACCTGAAGTTCATTGAAGTTCCATTTTCTCACCTTCAGCTCCAAAAAAAGAACGCAGCAAGCACCGCTACCGGGGCGGAATCTTCCTCTTCGCCCTCGTCCAGGCACTCAAGTCGGGCTCATGGGCCCGAGGCATCTGGACTCTTCAACATGCACAGGCACAAGGTGAGCGATGCGTTTTGGCGTTGTCCAACGGAAGCGATGAGTGTTTTTTCAACGCCTTCAGTGAACAGACGCGCGAGGTGAAAGACGAAGAGCGCGCCCCCCTTGTTTTTTTCGAAGCATGTGAGCCACTCAAAAAAGACATAGGCAAGCTACAGGTGTCCTTCCCTTTAAGACAGGCTGATAGTTCCTGCTGGCACCCACTGGACTTGAGCTTGTCCAGCCACAGCCCAATGCCGGTCCCGTGAGTCCGACGTCGATGCCGAGTTGGTAACTCGTTCGGGCATGTGGCTTCGCTGACATGGGTGTGTAATAGGGAGACCCCCCGAGTCCTCTCGCCCCTGGCCGGGTAGACGGTCTATTTTCTTTCACCCAGGTGGTCCAGGTTGAGAGGTCTCCCCATTGGAAGACACACCCACCATGTATCATACTAGACATCCGGTCGACGCTCGGTCGTCCCTCCAGGCCTTCGTCTTCACCTCTTTCTCCGCAGCGCTTCCTCTGCGCTGCTGGCAGACCAGGGCGCGTGGGAGAAAGCTCAAAGAACACTTGGAGTCGACGTGGACGTGGTGGCAGTGAATACCCTCTTGAGCGCAAGTGCCAGGAGTCGCATCTATGACCACAGCGAAGATTTCCCCACGCTGATGATTTCCTCAACAGGTTGGCATCAGGCTGCAGGTTCGGAAGTTCGTTTGGTTAACACATATCCATCGACCCGATGTTGTTCACACCCGATGGCCATGTCGTTCGCAAGTGGAGACTGAAAAGTAATCGTGACCAGATGTTCCGATGTTCAGCCAATCGGATCAGTGGTTTTGGAGCGCCTGAGATCCTGTGAAGATCCTGATCTGTCATGATCCATGTCCATCGTTGGACAACTACGCTCTCCCCCTTGGCCACCAGCGCTGACGAAGGGTTCTTGCTGAGCCAATCCTGGATGATGGTTTGCACTCTTGTGACTCTTGTGTTCGTAACTTGTGTTTATTGTTTTTGAAGGGTTCTCCCAATTGGCCTCATCATTGACTCTTGGGTTGGAGGCCATCGCTAGTAGGTTGGTTGGTTGGTTGGTTGGTTGGAAACCCCCCAGACGCCACCGCTTGGGCGGAGTGCTCTGCGCTCTGGTTGCGTGGCGACCGCAGGAGCCGCACGTGGCCCCGCGCCTTGCACCTCTTCGACGCGGCGGAGCCGTGGACGCCTTCGTGTTCGAGCTGCTCGGCGCTGGCCACGTCGATGTCCTCGCCCTCCTGGCAGGTGAACGCGGTGAACGCGACGAGGCGGCGAATACAGTAGTTTCTGGGCGAAAGCAGGTCCGGATGTAGGTGGAGGACTCCCAAATCACTCGACATCCTGAACATGTCGCTCCTGAGGGATGTATCTTTTTTGGGATGTTTTTCGTTTATTGAAAA